TATGCTATGTGCCTCAGTCTTAGTAGTCTTAGGTGAAGAGTATATAGAAGAGGTGGCACAGCTAGGTATGCAGTGGATAGAGCGCTGGGCTTGGAGTCAGGAAGACCTGAGTTCAAATTTGACCTCAGACACTCACTTGTGTGACCCTGGACAAGTTACTTAACCCTGCTTGTCTCAGTTTCCTCATTTGTAAAATGAGCTGGACAAAGAAAAGGCAAACCACTCTAGTGTCTTTGCTAAGAAAATCCCAAATGGGGTCATAAAGAGTTAGACATGACTGAACAACATATGGAAGAGAAGGACTTTGGTGTATATATGTGTATATACACACACATACACATACACAGAGATATACCTTGAGATCAGAGTTTCTTAACCTGGAGTCCATGAACTTTTAAAAATATTTTGTTAGCTGTATTTCAGTATAATTGGCTTCCTTGGTAAACTTAGCCTTCTTATTTTATTCATTTAAAAACAATATTCTGAGGAGATTATAGGCTTTATTAGGCTCCTCTTAAAGGGTTCCATAATACACGAACAAGGTTAGGAACCCTTACAAATATTTGTTTCTTTTAAAATAAATTCTAGCTAGATCACTCCCTCCTTTGTCACCAGCCAACTGCTTCGTCACTGCCGATCTGCCTGTAGCCCAGAAAAGTCACCTGTGGTCGGCTCTGAAGAGGGCTCTGCAATTAGCTCTGTTGGTTATACACAGCTGTATTGGACAGTGCTATTAGGCCTTATCCTCTGCTATTAGGTTTAGTTTCCTATTCTCTGGGGATGTTTTTCATCAGTTCACACCACTGAAATACGCATTTATGAACAGCAATTTGTTTATGGTGATACAATAAAAAAAAAACCCTACAAAAAGAAAAAGAAATTGATAATGGAGAGTCTTACTGAATGATGAGAGTATTGCAGGATCACATATCCCCTTGACCTAGCCAAACCCTGCAATCACCAACTAATGATGGAAAAACACAGAAAATCATCACTGCCAAATGGTGATCTAGTAGAATTAAAAAACTTAGTAAATAGGACTTTATTTGTTGGAAGACTGGAGTTTGATGTCAGAGCATCAGATTTTGGCCAAACTAATAGTTACTATTGCATTTGTCAAGTTAGAGATTCAGGCTTGGTATTGAAATGCTAGTCAAAAAGAATGAATATGCAAGATACGCATTATCTCAAAAGGCACAATACCATTCTTCAAACTCCAGTGGAGAATGGAAAACATATAAAAATGGTTGTTCATCAGTTCTCTTTCTGGAAGTGATACCATTTTTCATCAAGGGGCCGTTGGAACTGTCTTTGATCATTGTGTTGATTGGAGTAGCTAAGTCTTTCATAGTTGATTATCCTTACAATATTGCTGTTACTGTGTACAAGGGTCTTCTGGTTCTGCTCGCTTCACTTTGCATCAGTTCATATAAGTCTGCCCAGATTTTTCTGAAACTATCCTGCTCCTCATTTCTTATAGCACAATACTATTCCATCACAATCATGTCATCACTTGTTCAGTCATTTCCCAATTGATGGGCATCCCCTCAATTTCCAGTTCTTTGCCACTACAAAAAAAGAGTTGCTATAAATATTTTTATGCATTTTCCCTTTTCTTTAATCTCTGTGGGATCCAGACCTAGTAGTGGTATTGCTGAGTCAAATGATTTGAATAGTTTTATAGCCCTTTGGGCTATACGTAGTTCCAAATTGTTCTCCAGAGTGATTGGACTAGTTCACCAACAATGCATTAATGTACCATTTTTTGCACATCCCCTCTGTTTGTGATTTTTTTTCTGTCATGTGAGCCAACCTGAGATGTATAAGGTGATATGTCAGAGTTGTTTTAGTTTTCATTTCTCTAATCAGTGATTTAGAGCATTTTTCATGTGACTATTGATAGCTTTCATTTCTTCTTCTGAAAACTATGTGTTTATATCTTTTGACCATTTATCAACTGGGGAATTTTTTATAAATTTGGCTCATTTCCCCATATATTTGAGAAATGAGGCTTTTATCAGAGAAATTTGCTGCAAAAATATTTTCCCCCAGTTTTCTATTTCCCTTCTAATTTGGCTATATTAGTTTTGTTTGTGCAAAAACCTTTTAATTTCATGTAATCAGAATAACCTATCTTATTTCTCATAATCCTCTCCATCTCTTGTTTGGTCATAAACTCTTTCCTTATCTGTCGATCTGGCAGATACATTTTTCCATGTTCCCCTAATTTACTTATGATATCACCCTTTATATCTAAATCAGTTATCCATTTTGACCTTATCTTGATATATGGTGTGAAATGCTAGTCTCAGCCTAGTTTCTGCCAAACTGCTTTTTAGTTTTCCCAGCAATTTTGTCAGATGTTGAGTTCTTACTCCCAAAGCTTGGATCTTTGGGTTTATCAAACACTAGATTAGTATGATCATTTACTACTATGTGTTATATACCTAATCTGTTCCTCTGATCCCCCACTGTATTTCTTAGCCAGTACCAAATTGCTTTGATGATTATCATTTTGTAATATAATTTGAAATCTGGAACTGCTAGGGCTGACTTCCTTCACATTTCTTTTCATCGATTCCCTTGAAATTCTTGACTTTTTGTTCTTCAGATGAATTTCATTACTATTTTTTTCTAGCTCTACACAATAATTCTTTGGTAGTTTAATTGGTATGGCACTGAATAAATAAATTAATTAAGGTAGAATTATCCTTTTTATTATATTGGCTCAGCCTACCCATGTCCAATTAATATTTTTCTAATTGTTTAGATCTATCTTTATTTGTGTGAAAAGTATATATATAGCTCCTGGGTTTGTCTTAGCAGATAAACTTCCAAGTATTTTATATTGTCTACAGTTATTTCAAATAGAATTTCTGTTTCTTCCTGCTTGTTTTGTTGGTAGTATATAGAAATACACATGATTTATATGGGGCCCTATCTTGTATTAAAGAAAAAAATAATATTCTCCTAATTAAGTGAATTAGCACAGGAATGAGTAAGACTGCATTCTTCAATTTCTGGAGTGAAAGATTGAGGCTGGAAGTTAAGCTGTGCTTATTTTCCCAAAGAGTAAATTTCGCAGAGAGGTTTTTATACATTCTAAAGAGCACAAAGCCTTATCAGTTAACATAACAGCTTGTAGAGTAAAGCCAGATGCAGAATATAGTCAAAGGAAGGGAACATCAAAGAAGATGCAGCTGGTTCACTCTGAATTATTTTGGGCCTTCAAGGCCAAGCATATTCAATTAAAAAAAAAAAAAGAGGAGACCTTGTAGGCTTAAAATAACATTAGGATTCCTCATAGTCTCTTGTCTCCTCAGAGTAAAACTTACTGCTCAATTAAGAATTAGAAATTTTTACATATTTATCATTTTGTGAAGCTAATACTTTGTATGTATCAGACTTTATATTTTTCCCGTTTGAGTTTGTTCTTATTAGATTCATCCCAGTTCTCTGACTTTTTTAGATCCTTTTGGATCCTGATTCCATTCTTTTTAAAAAAGAAAACCAGCCTGCACATTGAGAAACCATTTAATTATGGCAAAAATATGAACATCACACATTCTATATAAGTCATTGCCAAATTATCTGTGTTCTCCACAATGTGCTAGAAGTGAAATCCTCAGAACATCTATGGCAAACTGGTTGTGGAGGTCTTAAACTCCTGACGTTGTCCCTCTCCTCACCTCTTTAGTGTCTTATTAGTATCCATAGAGCCATACTACTTTTTCTGTCCCTTGTGTTATTTACATCTTACCTCATCTCAGCAATTTGTCTTACCTTGTCTTATTTGCTTACTACCTTTACCTGTTCTATCTCTTCTGCTCCTTCTTTTTTGTCTCCTTGAGGTCCTTCCAGGTATCGTTTGTGCCCTCCTGTTCCTCACTCTCTTCATGTCCCTCTTCTTGTATTTTCTTTCTCCTCCTCAAGTCCACTCATTTCTGCACCCCAAAATTCAATCTCAGATCTTTCTTTAAAATTCCAAAGTCCTCCAAATTATCTTCCCAGTTATTTTTCCCATTCTCATAACTTTAGCTCAAGCCTTCTCCTCTTGTTCCATCTCAATATGATCTTTTCTGTAGGAAGCTAGAAGTAGAATTCTTTAATCATATGTACATACATATATGTGTGTGTGTGTACACACACACACACACACACATTTATCTTGTTAATTACTGGTGTTTTTTTAAACCCATTTTATAAGGTATAGACTTTTAAAAGTCACATTTACATCAAAAGACTTCTTTATGGGTGAAGGAAGGGGTCAGCCTAGACAATTACCTCATGCTACTAAAAAGACTTCAGCAAAAGGACTTCCAGGAACTGAGTTAGTCCTCTGCTATGTGTACTATATTATTGAGTTCACTTTCCCTTAGACCCTCTATGTACTGGTAGAAAAATATGTCAAACTTTTGGGGGGAATGTTGGTATCAACTGAACCAACTATATCACTATAGTAAATACCTTGTCCCAGTAGCTAATTAAGTCTGGCTTACTAATTGACATCAACTTATAATTGTGGTGGTAAGTATACCAGTAGGGGCTCATGGGCTATATAATACTAGAAAGGAAAACTTCAACCCTTTAAGGTTAACTTGAGGATGCTAAGGGAACCTTGTAGCCAGCCTCTAGGGACCCAACCAATGCAAATGGAAGTTTGGGATAGTTGCCTCAAAGCATGTGATACTTCTATTTTAGATAGTCAAGCATGGTTTTTGGCTTTATCACTTCCTTAGTTTTCCTTTTACTTTGAATTGAGAATAGGCATTTGAAGAAAAATTTTCTAGCTATTTCACAGTGTGCTTGTTGTGAATTATTTATGACTTGGATCATGGATACTTCCTTCCCAGATTGCATCTAGTGTAATAGAATGGTATGATTTGCCTTAAATTGTCAGTCTTAGATTCACTGTTTCTCTCACTGTGATTTACCTTCTCCCCTCCCGCCCCATCTTAACTAAAAAAGAGAATACAACATTATTTATTTTTTACTTACAGATGATCTTGAGATGCAGTTCTTGAGAATGGTGTACTACAACTGAGGTACAATTTTCTTTGGGTTGGTTTCAATCTAACTCAGTAATTTGTCTCTTTCTCTTTTAAGTTAGAACTAAATTGAACATAAAATTCATCTATATGATTGTTTTAGGAACATATATGTTGAATTTATTACTTGTAACAATGTATATTTATTAAATTTTTAGAATTATACATTTGAAAAGTAAGCTGTGCAGTTTCATGTATAGTTCTCTTTTCTGTTCTATGTGTATGGAAATGCTTTTTTTATTTGGTGTTTGTGAAGTTCAGAATTTTTTTTAATATTCCTCTTTTTAAAAAGGTATTGATTGTACTTTCCTGTACCTTTTACCACTTTAATGGTCTTTTTCTGCCTCCTTCATCACCTTCTCTTCCTCCTATCTCAAAACTTTGTCCTCATACTTCTTGACTTTTCTCCCTATTCTTTCTCATAGTTCTTAGCACAATGCCTAACTCATAGTAGGAGCTTAATAAATGTTGGTTGATTGATTGATTGGTGGTATTTTCGGATCCCATCCAGTCAGTACTTTTAAGCAGATAACTCCCAAATCTACATTTCCAGTTTATGACTTATTTTTGTGGAAGTCTTCACTTATGTTCTTAATTTAAGAGCATTTTTCCTTTTAAGTCTCTAAAGAAAATAAGGCATGGGAACATTTTCAATAAAGAAAACTAAAATACAACTGCTCTTAGGTGTGACTTATCTATTGAACATCTGATTTGCAAGAGATTTTATGTAATTTTAAACAAATCCATTTTGTAATTAGTAGGGATTATCTCTGTGCATTCCCTAGTGAAATGTCCCAAATGGATATCCGTCTATTTGAATTATTATTGAATTTAACAGTATATAGACTTAAGATAATTACTTTTCAAATAATGTAATAAATTTTGTACATGCTTAATATCAATTAAATGTGAATTTTGCCAATATTTGTTTTGAATATTAATATAATATAAAACAATATTTGTTTTGAATATTAATAAATAATCAAGTGACATTTAGCCAACTGAAAACACTTCTTAAAAACATTTGAAAGCTAATATATTCTCTTAAACTGTCAACCTTGTTTTAGAAAATGAATTGCAAGCTATATGGTATGTGTGATATACAAATGTTGACTAAATCATTCAGGGCTATATAGCTATCCTTTAGCTGTCTATGTAGAGATATAATATATAGTTGATTGATCCAGTGAGCATCAGAGAGAAAAATTGCATGATTAACTACAGTTTTGTGTTTAAAATCAAATTCTCTCTCAAACTGTTTGCTTTTCTATATAGCTTTATCTACGGCCATGTTGGAATAATATTTAAATGAGAGATTTTAAACCTGTAATTGAAAAACTTAAAAAAAATTTTATAACTGCATTTCAGTTTTGTTGGTTTCCTTTGTAATTTTATGTATTTTATTTTATATATTTAAAAACATTCTGAGAAGGGGTCCATAAGTTTTACCAGAGTGCCAAAGGATTCCATGACAAAAAAGGCTAAGAATGGTTAAAATGAACTACTTTTGTGTTCTCTTAATTTGACATTTCTCTTAATTTGAATGTCAAATTACTTTTGTTTTTTCGACTTTTTATTGCTTCAAGCCAGATGGTTTGACTTGGGCTTTTTTCCAAGGTCTGGTCTCAACCATTTCCCCCAAGCCTTTCCAATCATTCCACCTGAGAAATCCAATTAGTAGTCATAGCCATTGCCACTAACCTACTGAACATATTTAATTTAAATACTTGAAAGTCATAGTGGGAGGAGAGGATTTGGAGTCAGTCAATAAGCATTTAAGTGCTTACTATATGCCAGGTACTGTTCTACACTCTGGGAATAAACATAAAAACAGACAGTTCCTGTCCTGAAGGAGCATGCCCCCTGAAAAGGGGAAGGGGGCATTCTGGGGAGAAATGAATTCATACCTGACCTGGGAACTTTCCTTAAGATGGAGTTTCTGGGAAGAACCAAGTAATCAGAGGAATCCATATCAGAGTGGCCCAAATTATTTCACTGTTAGAAGGATGGGTCAGAGTGAACTTCCAGGGTGAGGAGGCAGCTGTGTCCTGTGGAGAAAGTCTGCAGACTCAGAAGTGGAGTCTGGAGAGAAGCTGAGGTTGAATCCCAGCTCTGCTCTTTGATACCCTCTTGACTTTAAACAGATCACTTTGTATTTTTGGGCCTGGGTTTCCTCATCACAAAATGAGTAAATTAAACTAGATAATCTTTTCTACTCCAAATCTGTGCTCCCATGATGTGGATCTAATAAATTAGTTGGTTTTGTTAAAAGATCTAATTTTACATTGGTATCTAATTTTGGAGAGTAGCTGGCCTTTGGGAATAAAAAATCATAAAAACAGTACATCATCTTTATGATCATCATAACAACTAGCATTTTTATAGTGCTTAAAAGTTAGCAAAGTGCTTTACAAATATTAGCTCATTTTATCCTCAGCAACCATGGGAAGTAGGTGCTATTACTATCCCCATTTTACTGATGAGAACATTAAGGCAGACAAAGGTTAAGTGACTGGTATGGGGTCACACAGCTAGTAGGAATCTAAGGTCAAATTTGAACTTAGGTCTTCCCTACTCCAGATCATCAGCGTTCTATCCATTGCATGACCTAACAGCTACCCAGTGTTTGAATAATTTTTGTGAATTGCTTCTGAGAAAGGCCACTTTAACATATGTAGTGTTTGTTGTGATGAACATTTAAAGTAAATGAAAGAATCACACCAGAATCTGAGGCTATTGTGTGAGAATATGCCAGGATGTTCTCTAGCTAGCTCGTACCAGCTTGCAAGAATGGATTATTAAATTTTCATTAAACATTTACATCTCAGAAATTGACAAATGTTGCAAATCGTGGCTTCATTTATTTTGTTGATTCTCCAGACTTAAGAAAGTTATGGGAAAAGTGTTAAGAATGCAGATTAAACTTAAAAATGTGTCATATATACTTTTTTTCCCCAGAGGCCTAGTTAAACATTTATCAGCACACCCCTGGAACTTGGGATTTAAGATGAATATAACATAATACTGAAGTCTGCCAAGAAACACATACTTCAAAGCAGTACATATATTGTTAAAGTATTTGTTCACATTACGGATACAATAAGGAACCCTATTTTCAGTCATGGACCAGAAACCAGTATTTCTTTCACTGACTTAGAATATACCACATTTGTGACTTTAAGGCATAAAGGAATGATACTCATTGCTTCTGTTGTTGTTGTTGAGTCATTTCAGTTACATCCAACTCGTTGTGACCCTATTTTGCTGTTTTCTTGGCAAAGATACTAGAATGTTTGCCATTTCCTTCTCCAGCTTATTTTACAGATGAGGAACTGAGGCAAAAAAGGGTTAAGTGATTTGCCTAAGGTCACCCAGCTAGTAAGGATCTGAGGCCAGATTTGAACTCAGGACTTCTTGACTCCAGGGCTGGCACTCTACCCACTGTGCCACCCAACTGCCCCTTATTCCTTCTATTGACTCTAATAACTTTTTGACTTCTCTGCAGCTGTTGACACTTTTAGTTACTTTCTTCTTCTGCATACTCTCTCCTTTCTAATGTTTTAATGACGTTGCTCTCTCCTGATTCTCCTCCTACCTGTCTGATCTCTGCCTAGTCTTCTTTGGGGGGAATCTTCATCTAGGTCCTACTTACCATGGTTATCCCCCAAGGCTCTGTTCTAGATCCTTCTCTTTCTCTATTCTGTCTCCATTGGTGAGTTTTCATTGGTTCATGAGCTTTCATTGGTTCAGTTATCTCTATGCAGATGATTCACAGATTTGTTTAGTCCTAACCTCTCTTCTGGATTCCAGTCTCACATCAATAACCTCTTCATGTACATCTTGAACTAGATGTCCCACAGACATCTTTAAATTAACATGTCCAAAGTAAATTTTGTTATATCCTTCTCCATTGCCCTTGCCTCTTTCTAATTTCTTTATTTCTAACCTCTAATTATTTTTTAAATAATATTTTATTTTTTCCCCAATTACATGTTAAAACCATTTAAAACGTTTTTTTTGTGGTTTTGAGTTCCAAATTCTGTCCCTACCTCCTTTCCTTTCCCCCTTCCTAAGATAGTAAGCAATCTAATATAGGTTATACATGTGCAATCATGTAAAATATTTTCATATTAGTCATTTTGTACAAGAAGACTTGAAAGAAAGAAACAAAGAAGGAAAAAAGTAGTATGCTTCAGTCTGTATTCAGACTATCAGTTCTTTTTCTGGAGGCGGATACCATCTTTCCTCATAATCCTTTGGAATTATCTGAGATCATTTTATTGCTGAGAATATCTAAGTCATTCACAGTTCTTCATAGTACAATATTATTACACTGTGTACAATGTTCTCTTGGTTCTGCTTACTTCACAATACATCAGTTCAGGTAAGTTCTTCCAGGTTTTTCTGAAATCATCCTACTTGTCATTTCTTATAGCACAATAATATTCCATCACAATCATATACCATAACTTCTTCAGCCATTCCCTAATTGATGGGCATCCCCTCAATTTCCAATTCTTTGTCACCAGAAAAAGGGCTACTATAAATTTTTTTTTACTATAAATATTTTTGTACACATACAAAATTTACACTACATACATTTGTAGGTATATTGTTATTTACTTCTTTTCTCCCCGTTAGAATGTGAGATCCTTAAAAGCAGGGATCGTGTTCTTCCTTTCTGTGTATGTCCAGTGCTTAGCACAGTACTTGGCACTTTGTGAGCACTTAATAAATAACTACTTTAGTCACCTCCTCCAAAATCATGGTGGAGTGATTCCTGCAGGTCAACATTCCAACCCAAATCCAATCGGTAACAGCAATGCAAATTCTAAAAAGTGGTATTTCAACCCATTAGGACTAACTGAAGTGAGAGCTGAGTGGCCACGGTAAAAACCTTTACTCACACTTTCTGTTCTTGACTCTTACATCTTTTAAGAGATACAGCACATGTCTCCAGTCTCTCAGATAACTTGGGAAGACTTCTGGGCTCTTTT